GTAAAGTATGCATGTATGTAGAGAACGAGAGCAGTACAAACCGTCAATGGATGATAAAACGGCTTTTCTTAAAAGGAATAAAATCTTCAATAGAATTACCTCTTTTGTCTATACATACATGAAAACGCAATACTAATACCCGTAATAAATAGATTGTAACTTACGACGTATACAGTTAACACTCGGACAGAAAGGTATACAGTACACACCAGTGCCAAAACTAGCTCCTGCTAATATGTAGGGACGTTTGGATCCACATCATGGGCCCAACCTTCCAGTCCCCCAATGATGTCTCTGGCCGACGTGAAACCCATCTTGTGGAGAAACTGAACAGCCCTCTGAGAATCATTACCCCTTCTGCATATTACATATAATCGCCCACCCAAACCAGAGTCAGTACCTTGATGCTCTTCTTTTTCCTTTAGGGCTGAAGAGATTTCAGGCAACCGAGCCTCCAAGCTCGAGAGCGGGATGTTTAAGGAATTGGGCAGAGAAACAATTTTGAAGTGATGTTCCGGACGAACATCGATCAACACATGTGCTTCCCCCCTAACAAGTTTCTCCTTGTACTCTTTACTATTTATTCTGGAGTCTGCCTGAAGTAGCTTTAACTTCAAAGGTAACTGCATTGATTGGAAAGCCAGATTGTTACCAGGAAAGCAAATACTCGTCCCATTTACTTGTTTAAAAAAAATAGAATAAAAAGTGTCCAATTATACATTTAACAATCAGATACTTTGAAATCCTATTAAAACAAAAATTATGAGACAGAAGATATATACCGGAGTCAGTGGAGACTGAGTGAACTTCTCATAATCAAATTCCTGAAACTGCTGCTTAGAGAATGGTGCATTTTCACCACAAGCTACGCATTGCAATGACCTTCCCCGAATCTTAACCTGCAATGAAAGAGCAAAATTTTTAAAATGCACACCAACAGAACAAAGCAGAATCTAATAAACGTGAAATGTTGCTCTGACATTAATTATTCATTCTCAGTTCTGAAAGAAATAAGAGGTCCAGGGGAGTGGGATGATGCCTAACTCCTTATTATGAGGGAGATTAGATTCAACTTGTAAGGGAATAAGCAATCGAATCTCTAAAGAATGGAGCGGTGTTTAGGGCAAGGGGGGGATCCCTGGTTGTGTAGGTGGGCCACTGGACCAAAAGCCTAAATAAAGAACATACTGAGGCCACTTAGAGGAGGAAGAAAGTGAACTTCATATGTCTGTGCAAAGCCGCTCTGGTTTCAATAATTCTTATTCTAAGAATTCAAAATATTAAAGCAAACTTCAGTCTAAGAATCACAGCTGGAAGTAATGTCAGCTACTGGATTTCAATGGTATCAAGATGAAGCATACAATTCGTATCCGTCCTGACAATGCATCAAATAAAAGCATCCTTTCTGAGAGTGCTTCACCAATTTCACTTGCAATCTTAATAGCTTCTAGGGCTTGGAGACAACCGATAACACCGGGAACTGAAAATAATTAAGTAGAAGTAAGAAACATGGAGTGGTTTCCCAGGCAAGGAATTAAAACCAAGGGACATATTCAAAATCAAACAAGATGGTGATGAAACTTCTAATTACATAATTTTCCTCTTAAACTACTATGCAAGTCATCAAGCTATTATGTCTGTAAAAATTTTCATTTTGGGCTGCAGCAGACTCGGAATATTAATAGGTAGTTTTGCAGCAGTTATATTCCATAACCTTTGAATGAAAACAAGTATTGACTTACCTACGCCTAGGACGCCACTGTCAGAACATCTTTGACATGCTGTTGCAGGCGGTGGAGTTGGAAATAGGCAACGATAGCATGGGCCGCCATTGTAATTGAAAACTGTGAGCTACACAAATATATTTGGAGTAAATACTTGGAATCTTTAACATGATAAAATGCTGAAACAGACAATTTCTACCACGTCATATATGGAAAATCATATGATTCAAGATCTAAGGACCAAAAAAGTTTCTACACAATGTACTGTAAGACGTTGGATTATTCCAATTACCTACTTAAGTGGTCTTCTAATCATCATAGGGTTGTCTTGGGCTCAATATTGATCAAGGACTCAATTACTACTCGGCCCGTAGCCTTTGTATGAGTGTTTAAGTTAAATACATGGGCCACAGGGATTCCTAATTAATATGGACTAGGGTTTTTATTTCCTAATGCAATAAGGACTGCTTGAGAGTTTTTCTTGATGGGAGAGACTCCCAGGCAGATGCATATAAAACACAAGTGCCCCTGCTCAACCGATCAATAAAAAACCCACACAAAAGAATTCACCCCATCTAGAATGAGTGTATGAAGGGATCGGATTGAGGAGAAGAGCTCTTGTGTATATTCTTGATATTTCGACAGTTTCTATGACATACCAAAGATATGTGTTCTACTTATGTGCAGTCAATAAAGTTTACATGTACCTGCCCTTCCAATCCCACGGCAGCACCAGATACAAGAGGCTGCGAGAATACACATAGGACCAATTAGTACTTAAGTGGAGAAAATGAGTAAAATGGAAGGAAAATATTTTGTTTCAAGTAATAACAACACAATAACAGTATTCATTAAAAAAACAATACTTATATATGCAAATACATTTATACAAAGCTATAATATGGTAACAATCATAAATACCCAAGGCAACCTTGAGCATCATATATTGAAGTCACAAACTCAAGAAATGTTTTCTTTCATGTTATAACAATACAAGAACAGCCTATAAATTTATACAAACATATATACTACATATATCAAAACTATGATATGGTAACATTTTAAATGCCCAAGGCAACCCTGAGAACCACATATTGAAGACACAAACTCAAACACAATACAATACACTTATTATTATTTCAGTTGAATGTAACGTGGATGTGTCATTGTAGTCATAATGACTCAGAGCTATTACAGCTGCAACTCAGTCAATTCTATTTTTCCTTTCCTGTCTTTTTTCCCCTCATTAAACTTTTATGGGAGCAAGGGGAACATAAATGTGAGTTCTTCCACTTCGGGGATCTTAAACATGCATCCTTCCCATGTGCAATGGATGTCATCTAAAGTACAAAATGGATTAATTCTTTTACCCAATCCAAATAGGTAATGAAAAAGATAACACAGAGAGCATTTGTAAGATCATCACGAGGAGCCAATTTACCTTCCCTAACACCACACAGCAATCGCTAATCATGTAACGGCTAGGAGCATTGTCTGTGGCATCTACTATTATATCATATCTTAGAGATGTCAACAGTCAAGGGTGACACAATGTTTCAACAATTTTGGACCCAAAAAAAAATTTGAAACTATATCTCCAGATTACGATAAAGGGAAATATAATTAAATAATTGCAAAATTTCAAGGATACTTGCTCAAGATTTCTAAGGCATTGGATGTACGTAAAGGTTCTTGGTATTCCACAACCTGAATAGTGGAGTTAATCCTGGGAGACAAATCCACATATTAGAAAGAACCAAAATAAATACACTAAAACAGAAAATTCTCACAGATATCAAAGGTCAGTATATCGTATGCAATACAACTCCAATATAATTCCTATTTTTAAACACAGAGAAATAACACGAAAAGAGAAACGTACGAACGACAAGCAGTAGCAGCAGATCTCACTTTTGGCTGACCAATGAAACCTTCAGTGTGGATAATCTAAAACTCAATCGGCAATAGAAAACCATGAATTAGTCTTACCAATCAGCATTGCTATGAAAACCATGAATTGTGTACATAAAAACAGTAAAGTCAAACAATATGAGAATAATAGTAGGAGCACATTTTCTAACTTGTACCTGCCTGTGCATATTGTTGAGCTCAACCACATCATGATCAACAATCCCCAAGCGGCCTAAAGATGCAATCCCATACAAATATTGAGTTCCCAAAATCTTAGTTCCATGGTATCAAATTATTATTAATAACATATTCTTAAAATAGGCATTATCAAAATCCCAATTAGGTGGAAACATTACCAACACCACAAGCTGCAAGATATAGCAGAGCAGGCGAGCCCAACCCTCCGGCTCCGACCACCAAAACTGACGACTTTAACAACTTGGATTGCCCTAATCCAACAAAAACATTAAATTTCAATTATAAATGACATAAAATCTCAGCAATTACAAAAGAAACAAAACCAGTTTATATTTCACATATATGTTATATGAATTACAAAGCTCAATAATAATTCTTGCATTCCAATGCCTTCAATTTTATTTACTGCACAAGAAAATAAGTTCTTTTTTTTATTACTAAAAACTAAAAAGCAATCATTCATTAATTACTACTAGAAGTTAGCTATTGTCAACAATTCTAGACCCCAATTTTATATATACATATATATAACGGTTAAACTTTGTACTATACAAGCATACGTACATACATATACATACATACATAATACACATACAAACACAGACTTCTATAATTATACCTTGGACTCCGAAGGCAGGGAGCAAGAGGTGGCGACTGTAGCGGTAAATCATCTGAGGCGACAAATCGTGACCGTAACCCGAATCAACGGACGGGATTACAGGAGGACAAGAACCATTTGGAACGGTGGCGTTTGGATGCTGCAGGTTAATCTCTTGGAGCTGTGCTTCGAGGGCTGAGATTTGGCGCTCTATTTCGCTCTTAGTGGACTTCAAGGTTTCGAGTTGGAGAAGAATCCTAGAAGCTTCTCCACCGTCGGAATCCATGGATTTGCAGAGAGTGAGCTGACTTGAGCTGAGCTTGAGGTTTTTTTTTTTTTTGGGGTCAATTGAGCTTGAGGTTTAGAGAAACCCTAACTGAAGAAACGATCGCGGCAGCGCGCGAGGATCTGGGGTTTTGTCGATGCTTCACTAATGAGGGGCAGTTTTGTCATTTCCTTGGGTCAAAACCGTAACGTTGACGTAGCCTTCATCTCTCGCTCTCTGTTCTTCCTTCATCACCAAACCGAAAACTTCTGCAACGAAACGCTGTCGATCTTTACATGCAAACCGAACCGAAGGGTACGAAGCTTAATGCTTAAGGGGAACTAAGCCTGGTCTTTACGCAATTATGCAAATTCAACACAGGGAGCTAAAGCGGTGAGTTTCTCTTCTAATTTCCAGTCCATATGCAAGAAACAAAGGAATTTAATTTGGTTTCAAGTGAATTCGGATTGATAATTACAAGCGCATGGTTTATTAAATTTATGTTAATTTGGTTTTATAAGTTTTGCATGTGAGTTTCTCCATTGCCAGATAAAAATCATGAATTATTCTGTTAAATAGACATCATGCGTTTTAAAAGCAGTTGGTGCTTGCCAATTAGATGTTTGTGAAAATTCCTCTTAGAGTTAGAAACTAAGGATATCAAAAAGTCTGAAGAGAGGAGTGAGCTACACATGAAATCTGAATGTGGGGTATTTTTGTATGCATGTACATGTGTGTTAAACTTGACATGACAGCTGAATATGCCTCGTTCTGGTTTTTAAGATCAAACAAGCAAGTACAATTTATCAAGAATCAAGTTTTGGATAACTGGACACCACCTTTGCTTTTCCAATCAAAAGACACTGCCTTCAATTTGAGGTATGTAAATTTCATGCCCGGAAACTTGTTTTCTGGTTTTACAAATTATCTCTTGATTAATTCTCTCCTTACAATTTTTTTTTTGGTTATGGTACTGTAGTCATGTTGTGTTTTGCCTTGAAAGTTGTGGTTGCAAAATCAAAAATGAAATTTCTGTCGGAATGTTTGATGACTGGGGGTTTCTTTTGATTATTTAGTCAATCTACCCGTCACGGTCATTTTCTAACTATGGTGAACTGGAGTCTTCAGTATTGTTTTGGAATTGGAACTGGTTTCACTCAAAAACATTTTGAAATGCATTTTAGTGATTTTTGGAAGTTAAACCAGTGTGTGAAAAGGAAACTTGAATTTTCCAGCGAACAATGAGTTTGTGACCTGGAAGTATTGGAGTTTTTTTTTTCTGAAATTCTTGCTGTATTTTGATTCTAAGCTTTAATTGGCATTAGGGTTTCATGAAAAAATACAGAAACGTTAGGATTTTACCTCAATATATTCGATCAAGTTGGAATCATGGGATGGATAAATGGTATATCATCTGTTACAAACCATATCACTGTGGGCACTGGGAGAAATTTTTTATGCTCAGTTTTCTATCCACATGAGCTGCAGCAAGTGCTCTCTTATCCTAAAGAATATTAAATGGGCCATTTCTAAATTGCTTAACTAGGCATCTATACTGGGAGAGTTGTTGCTCTGTGCAAGAAAAACCAGTCTTTGATTTCAGAGAGAGCAAAGCAAATGGTTTCATGACTACCTAATTGAAAATCTTAGGTTTCAAAGGTTGAATTAAAACTTAAGTGGGCTAGCCATCTCCAAGTTTACAAGTATACTTGTCTGTTTGGCATATTGGCAATAGCTTGTTTGGGTAAGTGTATGTGCATCTTTATGTTTGTGAAAGTAATACAATAATTTTTGTTTTGTTTTGTTTGAGGACCAGAAAAATGTTTGAGGAGCAGAATCAACAATAATACACAGAGGCACCTTAATCGCAGCCTCTGTTCCTTCAATTCATAGACACGATTATTTGGTAGTTACTCTCTTCGGGTTTTGGTGGAACACAATGCCTCGATACAAAGATGAACCTACTGCAATTCGCGTTTACACAGTCTGCGATGAATCAAGGTCTCTCTATCAGTGCTTATTTCTGTTTTGTTTTCAACATTTTATGCTTTATTTATATTTATTTTGTGGCAGGTATTTGATTGTGAAGAATGTTCCAGCTTTGGGATGCGGTGCTGAGCTGTTAAAATTGTTTGCGTCCTACGGAGAAGTAGAAGAGTACTTTACTTTCCTTTGTTGTTCTAGAGTTTATTTTTCAATAATCCAACTGCAAACTGGTATCCTAAAATCATTGTAACTATGGTTGTTTACCATATTCAGGTGTAAACCAATGGATGAAGAAGATTGTGAGCCATTCACTGATGTTTATTGGATAAAGTTTCATCTGGTCAGCAATGCCAGGTGATTATATCATATGCTTAACTGGTTAATAAATAATAAAGCATAGAGCTAAGTACCAGACCATATTGGTTTTGACATTTTAGGTTTGCAAAGAGGAAATTGGATGAGTATGTTTTCCTAGGGAATCGACTTAAGGTTTCATATGCTCCTGAATTTGAGAGCCTTGCCGAAACAAAGGACAAGCTGGAAGGCAGGACAAGAGAAGTTCTAGGGCGATTGAACCGTAAGTTCGATTGTATAGTGATGTGACCCATTGGTTTAAACTTACTAAATCTCTCAGAAGTATGATTTATTTACTTATTTATGATATCAGCTGGAAGATCTAAGGGGTCTACAGCTAATAAGTCACCTGCCTTGACTGACTCTTCTTTTGGTGCAATTCCTTCTCATCCTAACTACATTCCCCAACTTGTAAACTCTAGTGGGAGGTACTTCGCTCTATAAATTCACCAACTCCTAGTATTCTCTAAATTTCCTATTTTTTTTAACATTTGAAACTTGGCATGCTGGATTCCGTTTCCTTTCTGTTTAGGGACTCCGGAGAATCACAACTTACTTCGCACGTTAACAATCCTCCCCTTTCAAGGATTTCCTCTGACAAGGTTTGTTATTGTTTTCAAAGGTTAATACCTCTTATGCTATTTTTGTAATGGGATTGTCTTCTGGCACAATTGTGACTAGCAGCTTTTTAATATATTATAATATATAATAAGGTAGCCTGTAATTTTCTATTGGCATTTTGCATTTGGGGACCTGGGGTGGTCTGGTTAAAATGAAGGCTAATTTAAGTCCAAAGCATATGTTTATTAGTCGGTTTTTCATTTCTAGATTAAGAGGGGCTTTGGATGCTATATGGTCGATTGGTCAACATTAATTTTTGTGAAGTTGCTTGTTAATTGCCTAGACTAACATTTGATCCTCTTGTGCTTAATTGAATCTTCAAGGAGTATTTTGCTTCCCAATCAATGAATCAGACCGTCCAGATGGTGAGGGAGAAGCTCAATAAGGTGATAACCTCTCAATAGCATGTAAATTTTCATAGAGCTTCTAGGGTCTGTTAGATGTAATACATTTTTTTCTTTTCTCTACCAGATTCAATCAAGTAGTGAGCACCTGCAAGATGGACATGCATCCAAGAAACCGCGGGTGGACAATAGGAGGAGAATCTGAAGATTTTTATTCAGAGATGAAGCAATCCTGGCGGGTCTAGAAGTTATATTTTGGGTCTCACTCCGGCTGTAATTAAATTTTTGAGAAATTTTTCTGAAGGACGGTCATACCATGGAATCATACTGGCGTGGTACGACCCTCCACGCAAAGAATGCCATGTATTTGTAAGACAGACCCACACAAGTTCTCTTGATTTACATGAATACAGCGTTAATTGCCATGTAAACTACACTGAGTAGCGTGTTTAGTAGATAATAGTGTAAGGAAAAATCCCTCCAAACACCAAGAATTCTACATCCAAATTTCAAAGGTGTGGAGATTAAAACTAAAGAATCTCAATCGAAGCATTTGTGAGATAGTTGGGAGGCTTCTTAGTTCTCTTTAGTTAATGTTGGTTTCGACCACTTCTAAGTGGCATCACAAGAATGAGTTTTGTAGAATTGTAGAAGCAAAGTAGCAAAGAGTGGCAAGAAATCTAACTCCAGAACCAGATCAATAATACTCCCAAGAAAAATATCAACTGTGGTTAACATAAGAACCATGATCAGAACAGAAACTTTTCTCAAAGTTAAACAAAACCTAGAGCAGCAAGCCATAAGTGCTTCAAAGTTCACAAAACAAGTTCATATTTATTCTAAAACAAAGGTATCTAAGAATTCAAACCCTTTGAAATCTGAAATCCACACCAAAGTCACAATCAAGGTTCCTCTTTCGGGGCAGCAGTCTTCTCGTACCGTTGCCTGAACTTGGCAACCTGCCCGAGGTTCTCAGTCATTTGCCGTTTCGCCTTCAAGTGGTAGACTTTACCAACATGGTGGATTTTGGTCATCATAACGTGCATCAATCTGCCACTCTGGGTCACATAAGATATCCATTGCATCTGAGGGTGCAACCCTTTCTTCATCTCCTCAGATAATCTACAATTTGAAAGCATCACTTCTCAGTTATCCAAAGATCACCTTTCACAAATTCACAGCCAAATAGTATCCAAAAATCAAATGCAATTGTGGAGGAACCACTCTCCTTAACAACTAAAACTTGAAAACACAAAACATTTGTCAGAGTAATAGCCGTCACTTCATGTAAGCATTTCATCGAACACCTGGTATTCATTTTCACTTCAAGCCCCAAATTTTATTACTTGGGTTCCCTTTGAATATAATATATATAGGGTTGGAGCATAAAAGTAAACATTAAAACAATGAGAAAGCTAAGAGCAGGTAGAGCGGAGTAGAGACACTTACAAGCGATTGAAGCAAAGCCGATGAAACAATGAGAGCTTCCAAATGGATCTTCTTGTCTGATTCTAGCCACCCTTCTTCTCAAAGTCTCACGCATCAGAACTTGGATTTTGCAGCTTCATAGCGCAAATTTTCGCCGACCCGCCTTACAAATATGGGCCTGCACTTAAGTTTGGGCCTCAATTAACCCATTTGTTCATGTTGCCAGAATCTCTGGTCAGAGGCCTGTTTGTGTATGGTCGTTTTCTGGGTCTTCGACCAGTTCTCGTCCCATAGAAATAAAAATAAAAGGGGAAAATAACAATTTCTGTCTTCTAATTTGACCCTTTTTTTTATTTTTTTATTTTTGATCAGAGAAAGATAACTTCTTTTTTTTTTTGGTAACACGAGAGAAAGATAACTTCATTGAAACAACAATGTCAGGATACAAAAAGTGAAAACTGGACTTCAGTGATGCAACAAGTGTGGCCTCGTTAAAACTTTGCCTTTAAAAACCCCCAAATGAAGGAATGACCTTTTATTTTATTATTGTTCAAATAGTTTTATTTTAAGACAAAGTTGAGACAAACTTAACTTGAGCTCGTTCTAAAACGAGATGACCCCGAGATTAGGCTTGTTATATCTGAGATTAGGCTTGTAAAAATAGCCCAAAGTCTGATGGGCTAGCTTGAATACCCAATTTTTGGGGCTATTTTTAAACTTGAGCACTTGGTAACCCAGCTTGGCTCCACTCATTTACACCTCTCAATTCAAATATAGTTACTCTTTAACGATCCAGGGGAGGGGACAGTGTTATCGAAAATGATATGGGATTTGCAAGTGCTATGGTCATGTATATAACAGTTGTATCACCCCAAAGAGGAGGATGACAAAAGGGAAAAGCAGAAAATATAAAATACAAGCAACAAGGTATTTTACAAAGCATAACATTTATTCATCCACAACAATAATCACTACATAGTATTTTACATTAGCCATAAAGCACCCTACACAAATAGATCAAAGTTGTTCTGCAGCATACACAAACTGCAACAATAAAGCTGACTATGCAAAACCAGTTTTGCTTATTTAGGCATCGAATAGCATCCAATAAGGTACAGACATAAACCCAAATGGCAAACTGCAATACTAGATTCACATGAAAAACACCATGAATCTGCTCATTACTGCAGAACAAGGCATTGTTGTGTCCCAGTCACCATAGCAGCATGGGAGCTTGTGTTAATGACGTCGACTTCTTCATGAGAACGAGGCTTAACTTCCGGATCCTCGAGTAAATTTGCATTCCCATTATCACCAGAAGCAATGGCCTCAAAAATAAGAGCATTCACTTCTTGGAACCTCTCTTCTGAAAGGGAGACCTCTGCAAGGAGCTTCCAGGCATTTTCATCAGACGCCTCTTCATAGTCCTTTTTCCTCTTTAACACCATATGCCCACTAATTTCCCACACAGCTGGATTCACCTGAGTATCCAGGAGCTCTGCTCTCACTTCCCCAAGAGCTTGTTTCTCAGCATAACACTGCATTTGATAAGACCATGTGTTTGTGTGAGACAACCTGTGTAATGAAAACAAGGCGAAAAAATGGCTAATGAAACAGTAGAGTTTTCGTAACCATATATACCTGTGGCAGGAGAAAGATCCGCTTTCCAGAGTCAGAGATAAGGACATTGTAAGGTATGTTGTTCTCTTGAAGGCATATGCAGGCATCAGAGACAGTGTTTGACAAATCTTGCAGAGTATTTCCACCCTCGAAGACAAGACCTCTGACAGGATAGTTCAGAAGCTCAGAGACCTTCACCCCAGCATCTGACACGGTGATTTTCTTGGTAGGAGCCTTCTCAATGGGAAAGGTTACAGCCAAGTAGTAAGCCTATACAAAAAAGAAAAATCATCAAACAGGTATTAATTGTTGAATGATAACTACAAATAGCAGCGAACCATATCAGAAGCTGAATCTAATATTTAGGGCCAGCTCGCTAGAAAGGCATGCGGCTAGAAACCTGGAAGTGAAGGTGATTGATGGTAGCAAATGCACCCAAGCTGTTGTAACCCAATCGAAAGTAGGGATTCCCTGCTTCTGCCGCCATGTGAAGTGCAAGCAAGAAGCTTTCATGGTCAATCCTTTGTGGCAAGTGCTCCAGAATACGAGGAATCAACAGCACATGTCCATATTCAATTGGACTGACCTGTTGAATGGTGGATGGTAAATGATATAACTTTTTTGCTCAAATAACCTGGTAAGAACAACTAATTGACAAGAACAAAGAGCGTACATTGATGGCAACAACACTGGGCGAATTTTCAGGCTCAATGGGCGCACTAGGGATAAACTGAACTTCACCATCTTCGCTTGCTTCAAACTGGAAGAGGACCTCCTCTTGCCCAACTTTGGTGAAGTTAAACTTGTTGCCATCAAAGGGCTGGAGGACCTTATCAACTCGGAACTCAGTTGGTCTCTTCTTCAAGTGGCGACCCTCATTCAGCTGGGCTATGAAACCAAACTGCCCCGGGATCACCTACACCGGAATATCAATCCATATCTCAAATAAACATATGCAAATTGTCTGCAGCTTGAATCCCAATTTACAAACAACAAACATGAGGAAATAGTAGAGGAACCCAGAATACCTTGGTTTCACAGGCAGTGACGTCATAACGAAACAGCCCTCTCTGCATGCGATCCTCCCACTGCCAAGACGTAGCAAACAATTTTAATTCACAATAATGGTTAGATACAAGAGGGAACAGACAAGGCTGGACATTCTTTCTTAATCTCCCAACAATAATTTTACCTCCCCAAGAAGCAGTGAGTCAAGAAAGGCAACGGGAGGCTCTCTTTTCTCACTTCCGGGCAACTCCTTGTCACCATCAATCTTGTTCAGCTTCTTGAAAGCATACAACGGAAGCTTTGCCCCTACACAAACCCAAATTGGTACAAAACCCAGTCACAACTAGAGCCCATACCAAAAAGCAGTGAGAATCTAACTTAAACAACATTTTCTCGAAAGCCTATAATATAACAGGACCTTTGCTCCTTCCTACTCCAACCCCAAATAGATAAACAAAATCCCAGATAAGAATAATGCCAAAAACCAATTAAAAACCCACCAAAAAAATTCAAAATTTGACCCATTTTCTTGACAATATATATAAGTAGCCTTGCAAAGACATACAAAACAAATTCAAATTCAAATTCAAAGTCTAAATAGAGGGTGTTTCAACAAATACCTGGAATGCAACATTGATTAAGACAGTTGCGGCCACAACCCCCAACGCGGCGAGCACCCTCTTCCGCCTCATCTTTCTGGTAATTCGAAACTACAGTGGGAACCCTCTTGATCCTCAACATCATTCCTCTCTCTCTTTTTTTTCCTTTTTCGTTTTGTTCTTTGTTTCTCAGTAAAAATCAAACACCACCAACCTTAAACCCCCCACAACAACAACAATACGATCTACTCGTGCTTTATAGAAGAAGAAGAGGAAAAAATCTCTAAAAATCTAAACAGAAACTAGAGCTAATAAACGCAGAAGGAAAAAAGAGAGGAAGCAGAACCACCACCAGCAAGAAAGAGAAGGTCGGAGGGGCTACCGCCTTCGGAAGGCAAAGCACCACGCCCGCCGTGCGGCGAAGGGTTGCTCTCAACTACACAACCCTTTCGTCGGACAGTCCGGACATGAATGAGCGGCCGAGGAACTCCGTGTATAGCCGTGATGTATACAACTCGTCGAACCTGGGTTTTACCCCCGAAGAGAAAAACTTATCAAACACCTTCTTCGCCTTCCTCGCCTTCCTCTTTCTGCAACAAGATGGCTTAGTTGTTGGGTTCAATCGAAAAACCCAGATGAAAACTTGAAGAAGAAGTTCTTGGGAGGGGGCAAGTTGGTAAGGTTTGTGGTTGTGAGGGTGTGGTGAGGAGATGAGGGCTGGTTATATAGATTATGAGAATGGGTTTGGGGAAGAAGAAGAGGGTTGTGGTTGAGGATGTGCCGTGGGGCTGTGTTGTGAGTTTCGTGGTCTTGGTTTTGTTTGGTGTATCGTAATTTGGACAATAATTGAGAACGAAAAAAAGAAAATATTACGAGAGAGATTGGGGCAGGCGTACGGAGCGAAAAAGACCCGCCTTTTATACGCAAAAATAAAGAGGGGATTAAAATGCTTAAACCGCCCTCCAATTAATTGGGAAGTTCATTTCCAAAATAAAACTTTCTTGCTTAAAATCGAATTACCAAAATTGTTTGTTTGATCACACCAGGAAAATTCTATATAAATTTTTCTTTTTTTTAACCTAAGAATTTCTATGCATTGCTAACGCGGTCTAGCCTAGTGAAAAAAGGATGTTGACTTGAAAACCAGAGGTCTCACGTTGAAACCTCCATAGCCTCTTAGTTGTGTGCTTGTAGGTGAGAAACTCCCCTCTCCTATATATAACTTTCGAGAAAATATAAATTATGCGCCAGAGCCATTTATGTGTCATTTTCTATTCTTAAATGAACTATTGAAGGGCTTTTGTTTTCTAATTTTAAATAAAAGGTAATTTTTTCCATACCAAATTTATACTCAACTAGTTGTATGTTTACTGAAAATTTTGACATGTATATTTTATTTTTTTCTCTTTATTTACTATTTTATTTTATCCTTTTACTATTTTAGTTTTTATTTGTAGCTTGTATGCAACTTAATTTTAGCTTTGTATGCAACCTAATTTGTATGCGAAATTTTCTTCAAATGGACCCAACTAACCCACCTTTTTCAAATTCAAACCCATAACGCTAAAATCCAGCTTAGGAAATTTCCCAAACCGAAAAGACCAAAAAATATGTGCCAACTCTCACCATCCCCACCCTTTGAACGAAAATTCTCACTGCACCCCCGAAATTTCCTAGGGCACCTACGTCTGCTGTTGTGAATCTGAATCATAAAAAATAATTATAATATAATTAATCCTACTCAGGGACCCACTTATCCCCTAAATAGTAAATCATGAATATTCTAGTCCTGCAAACAAACAAACACGTGGGCTGTGACTTGTAACCTGTAACCTTGTCCGTTCATAATTGGACGACAGTGATTTTACTAGGCCGTGGCTTTTATCATTATAAAATTGGATCAAGTGTGAACATTATAAGAAGTAGGGTGGGGTCCACCAGGAGAGAGAAAGCAAGAAGACGAGGTTTGATTTGGAAAAGTTCACGATTACGAATCTACGGAGGGAATCATTCTGGATTATGCTGCTGCATATGGGCTTTGTCCACGGTCCACCTATACACTCTGGTGAGAAAGACTTACAATTTGATATCCACCATTCATCTTCTGGGGTTCCTTTCAGGTATTTAGGAGCCCAACCTACCTCAACATCCTGTTAGTAGATTTTTGGCTTTTTGCTTTTTTCGCTTTTTGGGGCTACATCATGGATTAATCACTTCTTTTTTATATTTATTTATCACATATTTGAGATTCATGATTCATGATTTGATATGTTAGTAATTTATTACACGTACACTTATTTGGAACGACATAAGTTATAAATCAGAGGATTCGAAAATGAAAAAGAGAAGAAGTGGATATAGGATCAACCACACCATATTGTTTTAATTTTGATATTAGACCGCTCTGTTACTGTAATGACCTTTTGTGTGCAGTGACTTTTATAGCTGAATTATGAATGCAATCCTATAATTTTATAATTAAAAAAACATGTTATTAGGTGTATTGGTACCCAAGCTCCTATATACTCAAATTTGAATTTGGAAATGGAACATGGGACCAACTGGTTAAAATTCCGATGGTACTAGATTTACAACAGTGTGAAACATTATCCAATGTTTTGGGGTCGGCATTTCAAGTACAACGGGATCAAGAACAATTTCAATTAAATATCTTATACAGTTGCGATTGTGTGTGAGAAAATTTATACCGTCGCGGTTATGTGTGAGAAAATTTTCCTCATTTTTTCGAATCATGTGCTACTTTGCTTGCTGCTCACACACATGCCTAAAGAGTAAACCAAACAGCACCTCATGTGACATGTACCCTGCCACAATGCTGTCCCCCCTTCAAACAAAGTAACAACCAAATCGGAGGCCTCCAAATTGAAGGACATGCCCCAGTCTCTCCTTGGGACGATATCTTATCCATTATCCTGCTCACATGAGTGGGGACCATAAAGTAGAACTGTGTGGGGCCTCTCATCCGAGTTCTAGTTCATTGAGAAATTTTTAAGTGTGATATACCGCAATGCGTTGTTACCAATTTGCTAGTATTATGACACATGTGTCTTCTTTTTTATCCATATATCTAGGGTGGACATTAATTACGTTGAATTGACTAAATTTATCGATCGGTATGTAACTAATATAAGTGGATATTTATTGATACTATTCTTTTAAAAATATGGAAAATAAACCATGTCATTCACCCATATTATAATGCGTATACAAAATATACCACGTAAACATACCCGTAATATTCTATAATTTCTAATTCCTGAGAGAGCTAAGCATTTTTATTGTTTGAAACATGTTATATCCAATCCAAGGCATAAGGTTTAGGCCCAATTTTATCTTGGATTGGACAGCCATGTAAAACCCATTCTCGTTTGAGGTAGTTTTCTTTCCTAACTAGCCCTTGAGACTAGCCCCGGTGATTAAGGGAGTAGAAGAATAGGTTTTTTTAAATAAAGGATATTTTCTATTGAAAGCGACGATAATATACTAAATCTACATACAATACACAGATGTTAGGACTCAAACCTAGGATATTTCCCGAGAGAGCAGTTGCTCTAAACCACTACACTAATAGGTCCTTTGCAGAAGAAGAAGAATAGTTTTTTATTTTGAGAAAATTGCATAAATGCTATCTAAATTATTAAGCATGCATGTGTAATTACCACCAAGAATTAATAAGGGTGTTGTTAAACGAACCCTAAAATTAACTAAGTACACTCTATTACCAAACTATTTATTGAATTACTAATTTACCCTAATACATAATGACGAAAAAGGATATATTGAATTGTGAAACAAATTTAATTTTAATAAGTACACCCTACTCACCATATTCAACTTTAATTTACCCTTGGTAGATCCATTTTTCTTGGTTTTAGCTTTATATTCTTGTGCTTGAGTTTGAGGGACAAGCTCGGATTTTTCCATATGATTCCCATTTGAATGTCCTTGACTTTTTTATGCCAAAATCCCGATCAATTCCATTGGAATTTTTGTTTAAACATATGCTTTCCCACTGATTTTTATTTTTTTTTATTTTTAAGAGAGAGATCTTCTTCCTTTAAATTGTTTATCAATAGAAGACCTTTTCAAGTCATATTCAGTATCATCTCCACAAGCGTAACTCCACTTGTAGATCATGTTGGTATTGTCCATGTTTAATTCAATGGAATGAAGATCACTATCACCACCTGACTCGTCTTCAAGCATAACTTCCGTTCCATTTCCTTCTTTCTTTGCGCTCTTAAATGATTTGAAATTGATTTCGTTTAAATAAGCCTCAAGTTCTTTGATTATTTTCAAATCTAATGTTGTGTGATAGAGTGAATTAGGGTGTATCAGGGGTATTTTGGCTAGTTAAATAGGGTGTACATAGTTAATTTTACATTTTGAATTAAATATTAAGATGTACTTAGATCATATAGGATATACTCAGTTAATTTTACGGTTCGTTTAACAATACCGATTAATAATTTGACACCCAAACTTTTCATTTGGTGTTAATGTACCACCTCTATCCATTTCCATCTAATTTCCGTCTAATTTTCTGTTAATAAGCTCCAAGGACACCAAATTTTTTTGTCTAGCCACTTATTTCTCTTGATTGCATCTTAACATTATTATTGTCAACATAACCCTCTTGAAAGCATTCAATTGTGGCCTTTCATTTCAAATACAACTTGGGCATACACAAAGTTTCTTAGCAAACACTTCTACTACCCAACGTTGGAATCAAATACTAAACAAGATCATCAAATAGTTGGGGTGTACCGTCTATGGGTTGGGTTTCGAGAAAGATTACAATTTCTGAATTTATATAATATTTGTAGGTGTGAAAGGGTGCAAAGTAGAATTATGGATAGAGTCGGAAACAATTTAAAAAAGAAAAGAAAAAACAAAGTTTGGCTACGAAACGCAACCACGCGGTTTCATTTATTTTCCCTTTTTGTTTTTATTTTTGCATCTATCTCTTCTCTTCTCTTCTCTTCTTCTCCCCCTGACTCAGGTAATTGGTGCTTCCATGGACGAGGTGATCACGGCCGCTGATGCCTCATCGAATGGATCTACATCATCACAGACCTCCATCATTCCCTCTAATCTTCCTCTCCTCTCTGCCTTCCTCTCCTTCGCTCTCGCTCAGTTTCTCAAGCTCTTCACCACCTGGTAATATTCTCTCTCTCTCTCTCTCTCTCTCTCTCTCTCTCTCTCTGTGTAACTTGTAATTCTATGTCTGGCTGTATCTGGGTCAAGTTTAAGTTTGTAGATTTATGACATCTTTATTTTTTTCTTCTATTTTCTCGGCTTCTAAACGTGTAAGGAAAAGTTCATTGATTTGTTATTTGGCATTTTTAGGCAATTTTCTTGATGGGTGATAATGGGTCCTTTTCGTTTTGTGAAATTATGTGATGGTTTGAGTGAATTGGATGATGACGTTAATTTACATGCACCATTTTGGCAGTAGCCGAAAAATGTTTTTGCCTTCACATTACATTCACCATTTGGTATTTGTTAATTTATTTGTCTCTTTGTTAAGCCATTTTCTTTTCACCATTTTGGCTTTTTTTTATTATAAATTTTGTTGTTTTCTCAGTTTTTCAAATATTTACTCGTAGACGTGCAGGTACAAAGAGAAAAGATGGGACTCTAGAAGGATGCTTGGGTCAGGAGGAATGCCCTCATCGCATTCAGCTACTGTGACAGCTCTGGCAGTTGCTATTGGTTTCCAGGAAGGAACTGGAGGATCGGCCTTTGCCATTGCAGTGGTTTTGGCATGTGTTGTATGTAACTCTTAACCAGGTCTTGTTCATTCTTTTTGTGTAGGCATGCATGCTCATGTATAAAGGCTTTCTATTGGGATGTAAAATCTCAACATAATGTCAAAATTCCGTTTACTTGCTTGTTTTAAGCTTGTTACACTCTCGATTGATTAAATATCTGGAGTTCTTCTATGTAATGTCATACTCTGAAACTTCAGTTGCCCGTTTATGACTGCACACAGTCATTCATCATACTTCCGTAAGAGGATTAAGCCTTGTTCGTTCATCATCAACTTTCCGTTTGTGATTGGAGTGTCTATCAATTACATAGAATCATTTATCTTAGTTCTGTACAACTTAATCAACTGCACTTGGACCAAAAAAGCTTATTTAGTTGAAGAGAAGAAAAAATCCATTCCAAAAAGGTTGACCTTTGACACATTTGTGCACCATCAAGTGAATAATATAAATGTAAAGATATAATGATGCCTTTTACTGGCATTTTCTTATCGCTTATAATTTAACTATGTCTACTTCAAAATCTAAATGCGCTCACTAGTTTCTTCCCCCTGAGAAAATATGAGTCTTTCCCTTCATAAGATGATGTTTGAACAGTTATATTTGTAGCCTAGAAACCCTTGGTACATAAATTACTCTAGGTGAAATTGTTAAGGTAAGTGACCTCAAACAAAGATGAAACATGGAAACTACAATCTCAGCTAATTATAATTTACGAAGATCATGCCTATATCCTCAGCTTTCAACTTTTTGTGTTACTTATACTTAATAAAAATGTGACAAATGATCATTTTTTTAAATTTGTATTACATCATTCTCAGTTTGGTTTCTGTTACTGTCCATAGTTTTACAAACCATCCACGATTTCTCATGGATTTGGGTTGCCTGTAGTTAAAATGACTGTTTCTTGCAGGTCATGTATGATGCTACTGGTGTAAGACTCCATGCTGGTCGTCAAGCTGAAGTAAGAATTTTTTTTCCCTAGTATATATGCCCTGTTGACACTTGACAGCGCACATACAATTGTACTATCTAATGTATGGGGGTTGTTTTGCGAAGTTTGTCAAATAAGCTTGGGGATAAGGGGATCATACTGAGTGAATATATGCTTCCTTTTTCGCTGGAAGCTTAGGGTTTCTTATATTTTATTTTTCGTAGATGCTATGTGATAATTGTTCTCTATAAATCTTTTAAAATATTCATTTCTATTTGAGTGCTAGTAATTGCTAATTGTGTATTGTTTTTCTGCAACATTTCCTCTGAAGTTACTGCTCTTTGTAATGTATCAAGCTAGACTGTTGACAACACCTTTGTCAATATTACAATACAAGCTGTATGACTGGACATGCATACATCCTGAATCTAAGGGCGAAATTCTCAAGAATTTATTATTATTCAAGCATTGTTTTCTGTAACATTTTCTTATCTTTTTAAGGCTTGTCACGTTGGAGTTTTGGCAACACTTTTATCAATATTACAGTGTAATTAGGGCCTAAGAAACTTCCCCAGCTGTAAGTCTGATACACAACTGCTGCCTGAATCTAAGGGTGAAATATAGACATGTATTATTATGATGGCCAAAGATTAGAGGCAATGTTGCCATTAGAGTTTATGTCAGTCTAATGATCTATCAATTATAAGGGAATACTGACTTATATTGGGTTGCGTATGTATGTGATTAAATATGTGCAACTAGGAAGGAGAGGTTTTTGTATCTATTTAGGATTGCAGTATATGCCTAAATAGCGATACAGCCATTCAAATCCCATCATACTCATTTTTAAATAGGCTTTCTCCTGGATATGATTCTTGTGCAAAATTCTTGATGGACATGGTACTGACACATGGACAAGGCAGTGCCACAGAACACAAACATGCTGCACATGTGAACACATGCAGAAAATGTGATATTTTTTTCTTCTTGCCCTAAAATTTTTGAAGTTATATTTGACTTATTTTGTTTATCCATATATGTACACATGTATTGCATAGGCACTCTTATGTTAGAGGGGGAAAAACAGCCATATAATGATGTGTCCATTATGTCTTGGTTGTGTGTTGCTATGTGTCCAAAGTGTAAACTTTATCTGAATTCTAGACAGGGGGAGGCCGGACTAGTGGTTTTCAATAAGTACGTCATATCTTTGAAGTTATGAATCTTCATTTTTTATTCAAATACCTTGGTTATATTTCCTTCTTTTAGATAGTAATTTTGTTGTGGTGGTTATTAACTGTTTACTTTTTTTTAGGTAACTTGTGTAATTGGAACTGTATGCTTTGTGCTTGTGCTTGTTTTATTATAATTATAATTTCTAATGCAACACATTATGATGCTTATTGCAGTTATTAAATCAAATAGTATGCGAGCTACCTCCAGAACACCCAGTTTCTAGTGTTAGACCTCTACGCGATTCACTTGGTCATACTCCTTTGCAGGTTTGTCGCATTTTACATGTTCATTTTCATTCATGCAATGGTTACAAAATGACAACGACATTAATGGTCAGAAACTTGAGAATATATGATCATAACTTGCATCTCTGTTTTGTTTCCATTGATGTGGCTGCAGGTTCTTGCAGGTGCAATGTTGGGATGTATAGTAGCTTCCCTCATGAGAAGTTCCAGTTAGCTAGCAGATGGTTAATTAGATTATTCTCTGACTTAAAGAGTGAATCATGGGCTCTAAAGGTCATTGCAAGCGTTTCCACGGAAGGTTTCTCAACAATTTTTCCCCCGTCAACAGTAAAAAGGATTGACCGAAAAAAAAGTATGGCAAGTTTGTAATCAGAATTCAACTGTAAAAACGTAAAAAAGTGTGTTCTAATGCCTTTGAACACTTGGCTATAGATTGTTCATCCCAAGTACATAAAGATGATTGTGTTTTTGTATTATTTTTGGCAGTCTGGATATGATCTTTACCAATTCAGTCAAGTCATCCTCTTCTTTTAAAAGTTTTTACTTTTTAATTTATGTCAAATGTCAGGGCAACCTCCAATCTCCAAAGATCATCATGGCTTGGATTATTTGTTTTTCGATGCTTCTTCCATTCGAAATTCCGCCAAGCAATGCCCGTCTAACAAAATTTAAATTTTTTTAAATTCTAAATGAATACAAGCGATATTGGGAATGGTAGAATCGAATTTAAGACCTCAAATGCATCAAATGCAGAGATTAATACTCTACTTAGCAGCCACCTCAACATTGACATAAGTCACTTTAGTTCACCCTCCCTACCTTGTAGAATTTTTACCCCACAAACAAGGCCATGGACAATTTTCTTTTTCGTTACTAGGAGGCCAAAGCCAAGGAGGAGAAAAGATTAAACAGGCACAGCCCTATCATGGGCCCTCCCAACTCATCATCCAACAAAATGCTAGCACGATAGTCAGGAACAAACTCCTAGTGATGAAGTCCCAAAGGAAGACCATGCCCCACATTGGCATTAGGGCTATGGACAATTTACTTCCGATGGAAACCATGAACATCAAATATAAAAGAGCATACACAGCACAACATCGATTGCTGCTTTTGTCAAGAAAGTAAAAGCCAGGAAACTCGAGCATATTAATTAAAAAAAGTAATAAACAGCTGAAATATTTCTATTTTTTGGTCGAAACAGTTGAAATATTTGGAATTCCTTTGTTTCACAAATCCATTACATCACAAAACAACCGTCTAATTTGTTCACCGCTGAGTTTGTGATATATCTCCTCAGTAAAACAAATTTATAAACAAAGCGAAGGGGGGATTATTATAAGTTCAAGCCTACCATGTTCACCGCTGAGTTTTTGCTCTCCTTTCCTCACTTAACTACAGATTCATCTCCTGAAGGTTTAACAAAAGATCTTCGGAGTTCAAGAAAACCTTGTTTGATGAATTGGAGATAACTTGCGCAATTTCTCTTGCAGCCTCAATCTTCCTGAGAGTGATAAATGCCGGATTGTTGGCAATGGCTTCACCAATGAGCTTGGCACTTGTGGCTTCACCCTGGAGAAAAGGGCAACAAAAAGAGTCAGACATTTAATTCAAAAGAGGAGAACTGCTCAACCAAAATTAAGGAGAAATAAAGACGTTCCGAAAGCTCTAAATAAAAATAATGATCAATTGGAGGAATTACCTCTGCTCTGATAACAGCACTTTTCTTGTCTTGTTCAGCTTTATCCACAACAAACTTAGCCCTCTCAGCTTCTTGTGCAGCCACCTGTTTGGCTTCAATTGCAATCATAAACTCCTTTCCAAAAGTCACGCTAGTAATCGACACATCATCCATTGCGATATTGAAATATGCTGCCCTCTCTGTCAAAATTTTCCTTATTTCCCTACTAACAGCCTACAAAATAAAAAGAATTCAGTCAGTCAGTGTCACCTGGAATACCATCTTCAACTTATCCCTTAGATAATATACACAACTAAAGTGTACAAACTTTGTCAGAAAGGAGTGAAATAATATCTTCAACTTATGCCTCAGATAATACCAGACCCTTCAATGGATTTGAATTGTGGAAATAAACTATTTTAGTCAAATCAGAAATAATGAATCACTTACAAAGCGCAATAATCCAAGAAAAACTTCCCTCTAGCTACTGAACTTTTAACTTTAGCTGAGAAGGATGAAACCAAGAGCTTAAAACTTGCACATCAAGTCGAAAGCACTTGTAATTATTACTATACATGGATTTCACTTATAAATATGTTGATTTTGAAAAAAAAGGGTACTGGTTTGCAAAGCAAAATTTCACTTTTTAGAAAAGCTTTCTGCTGATTACCAAATTAATCAAGTATTTCATTTTTTTCTCTTTCTGGTTTTAAACAATTTGGTACGTTAGCAGTATAATTCATTAATTCCCCCGGTAAATTGAGCTGTTAAGCTTGTTTTCTTGAGTTAAAATCTCATATATTTACAACCTGCTGAAAAACACATAATTGTAAGCAAACCACATTTCATTACCTAAAATGTAAACAAGAAAACCCAATACAGAGTTGTGGGAGAGAGAAAGGTGAGAAGGGAACCAAGAAAACAAATTGAAATAATGAACAATGACAAGAAAAATCAAACAAAACAAACAAAACAAAACACAATTCTAATTATAGCTAAAAGATAATTATAAGCCTTCTGCTTACCTCTCTCTGAGTAATGAGTTGACTGGCATTATACTGTGCAACAACAGCTTTCAAAGTTTCATGGATAATTGAAGGCAGGACCCTCTCATTATAGTTCTCCCCAAGAGTTCGATAAACTGTAGGTAACTGGTCTGGCACAGGGCGGGTCAGAACTCGAAGTGCTATTTTCACCTGTAAAGAAACACCAAAAAACATATTAATGTACAAAAAAAAAATCAGAAAAATTTCATTTTCCACAAAATTAACTATAACTGTCCCCCTTTAACCTATGCATTGTAACCAACATTATAGACACTTCACTGGAAATCTACATGGGTAGAACAGGTTCGCCTATATGCGACAGAAGATAACAGTTTAACACAAACAAAATCAGTAGCAAGAGGAAAAATGGGTGCCGAACATACAGGTGGGAGTGGGAGTTAAGAACATCAAGATTTCCTAAGAATTCTGAAACTGTTGAGATCTGATGGGGAGAATAATAAACACCATATAATGCAAAACACACATGAGGAGTCCAAGGTAAGTGCCCATTGGTTTTGACAAAGAGATTAGTCAAATAAACATCATTTCAGGCATTAACCACAATTTTTATGGAACAGAAATAAGAAATCTACATACCATCTGGAGGTCACGGCTTCCAGAAGTACTCTCCACAAGATGTGGTCGTGCACGGACATCATAGATGACTGGCCTCTCAAACCATGGGATTATCAGGTGTGTCCCTTCAGGATAAACCTGCAATTTTAAGAGGTAAGTATATTGTATAGTATTGACACAGTAGATACAGAATTTAGAAAAAAAAGAAGGAAAATACATACTACAGGAATAATTATGGAAGGCACACAAATATAGAACAAAATTGTTAAATCTACAGTATTGTGATATTCCACTTTGGCTTCTATGTGTTGTGCAATGGTGTGCTGAATCCCACATAGGTTGTCTCAACGTGAGCTATATAAGGGGTTATAAGGAATCTCATTATTGACTAGCCCTTTTAAAATATAGGAATGCTTCCTTAGGTCATGACAAACGTGTTCATCAACCACTTTTTAAAACTACCTATATGTTGCGAATCATCTAAACTTAAAACAAATAACTCCATTCTCTGGCAAGTCATAGGCTAAATAAGTAGTTCTTCCTATTTCTAGCCTCAATTGATGCCAAATGGTCTTGATGACAAAAGTTTAATTCTTTCATGTGTCAACAATAGAAAATGGGAAATTTATGAGGACCCTAAAGTCATGTCTGACTACAGATCTGCTATTCTTAAGGAAAAGAATTACGAACAAATGTACATATTTCCTAAGTACAAGAGTTTGAGGAAAGTATTAACCTTGTCTTTGATACCAACAAGACGATTGAACACAATGGCCCGATGCCCTCCTTCGACATTGTAGAGACTATTGTTAATTCCATATATACCAAGAGTACCAACAACTCCCACTGTAAGCAAAGTAGCAATCCCACGACCAGGCACTTTGGGAACTTTCATATTTTTCATATTCATATTTGTGAATGCTGAGTGTGTACAAGTTAAATGCCAACGTTAGAAAATCAAATTAAATCATTCAATTCTTCCTCTTGCTACAAACGAGAGGCAGAAATTGCAGGAGTAAGCTAGATGTTCATTGATGAACAGAAATATGGAGATCAAAAGGAGAAAGCATGGTGCAAGGTATATTATGAAAGAAACACTACATAAACACGACTAGAAAAGAAACACAAGCATATTCTCATCGGTTCTATTTGCTCTTGGTTTCTGAGACAAATGAGAAACAAAAAACAAAAGAAATTGGCAATCAGAGTTGTTTCAACTTCCACAGATGGAGAACCGGCACTCAAGTAAGCTTGATAAAGAAATTGGTTCTCACTTTCCAAAAGTTTCTGTGCAACCAGAAAGGGGCACAGCGCAGAAAAGTGAAAAAGTCCAAATACAGCAAAAAATGAGCCCCACATTGTGAATCTCGTATATGGATTTCACCAAACTAAACTAAAATGAACAAAAACGAATAAGGAAAAGGAAGGCATTCTTATTTCTTCCTTTTCCTCAAATTTTCTCAGCCGCCAAACATAACATAGTAATTTATAAACAAGAAAATTGGAGAAACATCGGAATAGAAAATGAACCCAACTTGAAAATCACAAATTTTGTCCCCTAGACAGTAAACCCAGAACGTGTAAGCAAGAAAAACTAAGATCCAAATTGTCGAATTTGCACTAAACTTTCTTTTTTCTTTCGTTTGCTTAAATAAATTTCTTACCAGCCGAACACAAAATAACACAAAAATGTATAAATGAAGAATGAGTAGAGATCAAAACCTGGAAAAACAGAAAAGGAGGGAAGGAAGATGAATACACGAGAATCTGATAGTTGTCAATAAAATGCGATGTAGGGAAAGGGTTTAGGGTTTATGCCTATAAAGCTCACAACAATAAAAGCAAGAAATGCGGAAGGCATTTGCGTGAGGAAGGGGTTGGAGTTCCAGGAGGAAACGACATATCGTATATCAATTCACTTGTCCACGGTGGCGGGAACTGAGAAAACGGTACGTCGTCATTATTCTTGGGATCAGAACTATGGAGCAAAACGCCACCGTTTTATATTACGAACCCAAAACGTAACCACCATTTTCCCTCTTTTCAAATTCTCCTCTCCTCCTGCTCTCTCTCTCATGTCGACAGTACAAAACCGTCTACAGCGTTAAGGAATAGAGCTTCCATGGCGAACCGTCCCCAGTCACCGACCAGTCCGCTATTCGTTCTGGGCTCC